TTTCCAGGACCAGGAAGTGAACTCATGACTTCATGCTTGTCAGGCAGGCACAGGGCCGCTGAGCTATATTGCTGTCTCCTCCATTTCTACGGTTATAGTTCAAAATATATACTTGTATCATAAACTTTTTCACCAGTTCCATTTTGTTTCTGTTTTTTTATTTCTTGTTTGGTACCAGGGATTGAACTCACAACCTCACAATCACCAGGCAGGCACTTACACCACTGAGCCAAATCCCTGGCCCTACTAGTTCCATTTTATATTTGCCTGTTTCTCTCTCTCTTTCTCTCTCTCTCTCTCTCTCTCTCTCTCTCTCTCTCTCTCTCTCTCTTTCTTTATGAGACAGGGTCTCACTCTGCAGTTCAGCAGGCCTTGAGCTCACTTTGTAGCCCAGGCTGGTCTTGAATTTGCAACTGTCTTCTTCCTCAGCCTCCTGAGTGTTGGGATTATAGGCATGTGCCACAATACCTAGTTGGTTTTTTCTTTTCTTTTCTTTCTTTTTCTTTCTTTCTTTCTTTCTTTCTTTCTTTCTTTCTTTCTTTCTTTCTTTGTGTGTGTGTGTGTGTGTGTGTGTGTGTGTGGCACTGAAAGTTGAACCCAGGGCTTTGCACATGCTAGGTAAGCATTCTACCCTGAGCTCCATTCCAGTCCAGTTATTTCCTTTTTCTGATAACACAAATAGTGCTGCGATAAATAATACTGCATACATTTCCTCTTGTTCAGGTATGAGGATCTCTCTCCATTTTGCAGAATTTAATAATAACCAAAGGCCATTCCCAGCAACAGTTCCTGAGTTTGTGGACAACCAGCTCTGGAAGCTTTGGTGTCTATTGACCTGGATCCCTCAGGATGGTCAAGGACTTAGCATCCTGTACAGCCGCAGACCTCAGGGATCTGCCTGGTTCCCAGGAGTAAAGTAAGCAGTTTGGGATTACAATCAGGTGGCCTTGGCTCTGATCAGGGCTGGCCAAGCCCCTCAGCCTTCTAGCACTTAGGGTGTTGCTGTGTCAGTGCTGGGCACAAAAGACAGGAGAAAAGAAGATCTTGGGGGGCTGAGGATTTAGCTCAGTGGCATAAGCACCTGCCTTGCATGCAGGCGGTTGTGAGTTCGATCACTGGTACCACTACACTGCCTGGGCTTAGGGTTTCACCTGGTCATTCATTCATTCATTTATGCCCATATGTATTCCTTTGGCATTACTAGTGCCAGGCCCTGTGTGAGTTTTGGGGGATGGAGGAGCTCTAAAGATGAAAAGGACAGGTGGCTGGCCAGGAGCATAAAGAATATTGCCATGCATGGTGGGACATACCTAGAACTTTGGAGACTGAGGCAGGAGGATCATGAGTTTGAGGCCCGCCTCGGCCACATAGCAAGACTTTATTGTTTTTTTGGTACCAGGGATTGAAATCATGACCTCATGCTTGCCAGGCAAGTGCTTATACCACTGAGCTAAATCTGCATACCAAGGCCTTGTTTTAAAGGAAGAAAGAAAAAAAAAAAAAAAAGCAGTCTATCTCTGAGCCTGGGATACCCTGCCCCTGCTTACTCCAGTGTTCCAGTTTGGCAGCTTCTATTTTTCTTCAAATTTTATCCTTCCTTGTCTGCTTTTCCTATACTTTTTTTTTCCTTTAGTAGTGGGAATCAAACTCACAATCTTGGGGGTTGCTTGGCAGGCAGTTATGCCAATGAGCTAAAGCTCCAGCCCCACTTTTCCTATATTTTTAGTACTTATCTATTTATCTACCTATCTATCTTGGACTGCTGGGGATCAAACTGAGCGTTCTACATGCTAGGTAAGTCCTCTACCACTGGGTTGAACTACAACCCTACTCCTTTATAAAATTTTTATTTTGAGCCAAATATGATGGTACATGCCTGTAACTCTAGCTATCTCAGAGGCTGTACCAAGAGGATTTTCAGTTTGAGGCTAGTCTGACCAATTTAGTATTGTTTTGTTTCAAAATTGAAAAAAAGGTGAGGGCACTAGGGATGCAGCTAAATCCAGTGCTCCTGGGTTTGGTCCCCCGGACCACACACACCCAAATACAGTAAAGTGATGATAATGATTTTGAGATAATGCCCAGGCTGGCCTTGAACTTGTTTTTCCCAATACGACTTCTGTTTTTTCCTTTGAGACAGGATCTTGCTATGTAGTTCAGGGTGGACTCAAAGTCATGATAATTCTTCTCTAGCCTCAGCCTCATGAGTGCTGGGATTACAGGAATGTGCCACCATACATAGCCCAATATGCTTTCATTTATCTATCTATCTATCTATCTATCTATCTATCTATCTATCTATCTATTGATAGGGTCTCACTATGTAGTTCAGAGTGGCTTTTGAACTTACTATATAGCCAGGCTGGCTTTGAACTTGTAACACTCCTCCTGCCTCAGTACTAGGATCACAGGCATCTGCTACCACGCTCAGTTTATTTATTTATTTATTTGTATCAGGAATCAAACTCATGACCTTGTGCTTGCCAGGCAGGCACTATGCCACTGATCTATATCCCTTATCTCCAGTTTACTTCCTGATTTATTCAGTTTTAAGCATTATCTGTTGCCAGAATCTATGGGACATGAGGATTTAGCTGCTGCCTCTGTCAGCTTCATGAACCTTGTCTCCCAACTTCCATTGTCCTAGTAGTGTTACATCACCATTTTATTGTATTGTGTTCATGTATCAGTCACATTTGAGCTATATTTTAAGCCATGATTACTTTTTCTTTTATGAAATATTTTTTCCTTAAAGTATTAACTTTTGCTTTTGTTTCTTTTTTCCTTTCTTTCCTCCCTTTTTCTTTCCCTTCTTGATCTCTTCCCTTCTTCCCTCTCTCTCTGCTTCCTTCCTTTTATATGTGTGTTGCTAGAGATTGAACTCAGGGCTTTGGTACTGAGCTAAATCCCTAGCCATTTATTTATTTTTTTAAATTTTGAGGCAAAGTTTCTCTAAGCCCCTAAATTACCCAGGTTTGGCTTGAATTTTTTGTTTTGACAGGATCTTTAGGTAGTTCAGGCTGACCTGGAACTCACTATGTAACTCCCACAACTCCCAGTGATCCTCCAGCCTCAGCTTCCCGAGTGCTGGAATTAGAGGCATGTGCCACCACATCTGGCTGTGTGCTCCTAAATCATTGCATTGTTTTTTCATATCAAGTTTTCCTCATAAAAGTAGGACAGGGCTTTCCAGTACTCTATCCATTTTTCAAACGAAGAAAGTGAGACCCAGAGAAAAGGAGTGACTACCCAAAGTCATCTAGGGAATCTAGATTCCAAAGCAGGTACAGTATTAAAAATCAAGCTTACACGAGGTATTCCATCAGCTGCAAAATCAGATTTGATAGTATAGTTTCTTGGTGTGGTCCCTGCATTGCAATCAGCTAACATCTGGACTCTACCCTAGACTTATTGAATAGAAGCTTTCTCGCTGGAATCTGGACATTCATATTTTTTCTGATGCTTTCCTAGTGCACATTAAATTTTTCCTAATGCACGTTCAATCTTGTGGGGGTGGTGCTGGGACTCAAACCCAGGTAGGCAAATGTTCTACCACTGAGCTATACCTCCAGATCCAGTCATTTTGAGCATGGTGCACAGAGAAGATGGTCTGGGCAAACAGATCTAAGCAGGCCGCACAAGGAATGCCGCACATGAATCTGTCAATGGAGCTGAGAGGCAGGGAGGAGGGAAACCACATCAGGCTTGTCTGAGAGAGTACTTAAATTTAGGCCTCTCCCTGTTGCTTTTAGCTGCTGGCATCATCACTGCTTCCCTCCTTAGCTTTCCATCTCCTTCAACAGCCTGTTCATGGATTAAGCTCAGTAAAATTTTCTGCTTTCTGGAAGCAGGGAGGTGGTGAGCACACAGAGTGAATAAGATACATACATAAAAAAGATATATAAGCTGGGCGTGGTGGCTCACACCTGTAATCCCAGCACTCTGGGAGGCTGAGGCAGGAGGAACGTTTGGAATTGGAGACCAGCCTAGGCTACAAAGTGAGCTCAAGGCCAGCCTGAACTGCACAGTGAGACCCTGTCTCAAAAAGACAAAAAAAAAAAAAAAAAAAAGAAGATACATAAAATAGAGTAGGAAATCACAGGCGGACAGGGCAGGTCAGGTACAGAGCCTTCACGGGCAGGCATTAAAAAGCTGAGTAAGAACAAGCACATATGGATGGATATAAAGGGCCTTCATGATGGCCTAACGGCATGCACACATGGGTGCAGAGGGCATGGTAGAGGGACAAGTGAAGGGCACAGGCGGCTCAGGACTTATTTAGGTGAGTCTCCAGAACTGTCTAGGGTACTGAGGCATAGCTGGTTCCTTTATACTGTGAACTGAGACAGGTCCACAGGTCTGGGTTCAAGTGCCTGCCCCTTCCTGTCTCTTCGGTTGCACGGAAGGCGCGCAGACCCAGGCTCCCGGGTGAGGCCTGCTCCTGGATGTCCACTCTGGTCCTGGCAAGGGAGATGGCTTCCTCTCTCTTGTGTCACGTTTATTTCAGCTCGCAGTTATTTTACTAAGGCTTGCTGCTTTCTGGCTTCCAGCTCAATTTCATACAGGTCCCTTTGCCTCGGCTGTCCTTGGACTATCATCAGCCTGGGCTCCTCGAGCGCTTTATCACTTTGTGTACTCCTACTTTTTTTCTAAATTACTTTCGCCACTCTGCCACTTTCCCAGCCTCCCTTTCTTCCGACGTCACTGGCAAGTCTTACGCATCAGAGGATGCCTCAGGAATTTTCAGTCCTGACGTGCTCTCGCATCAGTCTCCGCGACGCCGCGGTGACCGATGGGGCTTGTGGTCCCTGAGCCATTACCACACGTCCAGACCAACTACGCATCCCGGAAGTCCCTGCCCCAGAGGCGGGAATTCCTGAGGTCCCGAAACATGACCCTTAGCCTGCCCTTGGACTACAACTCCCGCCGTGCCTTGCACCGTGACCCTCACGGCAGGGTCCCTGGCTGTCGCCAATATGCTCCCTGGAAGTTGTAGTTTTTAGGTTGGTGAGATGAGGAGGAGGCGGAGTGACTAGGCGGCCATTAGCTGTGTGTAGTTGCCCGGGTCTAGGAGCTTAAGTGAAGGGGGTAGCCTTATTCGGTGGAAATCTGCGGTGGTGATGGGCTCTTGCCAGGGTTAACCCCAGAGCACGGAGCAGGCGGGACCCCTCAGCGCCCTGCCCCGCCCAGTGTCGAGGCCTGCTAGGCCTCGAGGCATCCTCGGTCTCGAGTAGGCCTCGTTTGCCGGCAAGGGCGCCCCAAAGGCGGGAGGCGCCATGTCGCTGGTTGCTTACGCCAGCAGCGATGAGAGCGAGCCAGATGAGGGCGAACCGGAGCCTGAGGAAGAGGAGGCGGCCGCCCCTACGCCCGGGCCCACCTTGGGAGGCTTGTTCGCTTCCCTCCCCGCACCCAAGGGTCCGGCCTTGCTGCCCCCACCCCCTCAGATGCTGGCCCCCGCCTTCCCCCCGCCGATGCTGTTGCCCCCGCCTTCTGGAGACCCTAGACTCCAGCCTCCTCCGCCCTTACCCTTCGGCCTGGGAGGCTTCCCCCCGCCTCCAGGTGTGAGCCCCGCTGAGGCGGCGGGAGTTGGGGAGGGCATGGGCCTGGGGCTGCCGGGACCCCGAGGCCCCGGCCTCAGTCTGCCCGCTCCTGTCAGCGGTGCCGGCCCCCCTCTGGGGCTTCCCAAGCCAAAGAAGAGGACGGAGCCGGTGAAGATCGCGGCTCCGGAGCTGCACAAGGGGGATGTGAGTATCCAGGGAGGGCACCCCAAACTGTCGGGCCGGCTGTGGAAGGGGCTCCTTAAAAACGCATCTGTTCACTCAGCCGGTGAAATCTTGCAGTGCGATTGAGCTTCAGCTTCTTTGGGGATTTAGATTGTTGCTGTGCAAGTTTCTCCAAGCAGGTTCAGCCGCGGGAAGCCATGTATCTATCATTCTCTGGCATTGACAGGCTTATGTCTGTATACCTAGGGATACTTGCTTCTGCTCTCCTGTCAGCGTCTTCTCAGGCTGGCTTTCTCTAGCTTCCCATGGTGAGCACAGGATGGCCATATGTGACACCTGAGGAAATGACAGGGGACAAGACTACATCATTCCTTTGCCTCAGAACTAACATCAGGGTAGGAGTGGGGGGGGGGTAGGATTCCTATACTCCTAGTTTTTAAGGGGAGCTAGAGAAGAAATCGAATGTTTGTTAAATTCAAGTCACTTACCAGGCCTTGGTCCTTTCTTTCAATTATTACAGAACTTTGGGAGAACACATACTATTTTTTAACAGAAAAGAAATCCTACAGTGGCTCAGCACTTACCTGGCAAGCATGAGGTCTTGAGTTCGATTCCCAGTACCCCCCAAAACCCCCAAAAAATCCTAGCATAGAAAATCTTACTTGGTGAAAAGCAGGGTGAAGATTAAGAGCTGAGTCTAAAATTGGGTGTAGTGGTGCACACCTGTAGTCCCACCTACTTGGCAGGCTGAGGCAGGAGGATCACAAGTTGGAGGACAGCCTAGGTAATAATTATGAGACTTTGTTTCTAACTATAATTTTCAAAAGGACTGGGAGCCAGGTGTAGTGGCATGTTCCTGTAACCCCAGCCCTTGGGAGGCTGAGGCAGGGCATTGCTGTGAGTTTGATGCCAGCCTGGGCTATAGAAAGTTCAAAGCCAGCCTGAACTACATAGTGAGACCCTGTCTCAAAAAAAAAACTAAGGTGGTGGTGGCGGAAAAAAGGGGTTGGGGATGTAGTTTTGATAAAGTGCCTAATATACATGAAGCTATGTGTTCAAACCCCAGTATTACAAAATAACCAAAAAGCAAAGCAAAGAAGTGGGTCTGTTTGAACCCCAAACCTATGGCTTTTGGGTGTTGTCCACGTTGGGTACCTTTTTTTGGTACCAGAAATCAAACTTGCACTTGCTTGGCAGACGCTGTGCTGCTGAGCTATATCCCAGGCCTTGGGGACTGTTTTAGATGAGGCAGAAACCTTCAGTTGTTTTCAGATGTTGGAGCAAAACAGTATCATAGGCCTCTTCTACAGAGGGGGCTTTGGGGATACAGAGGAGTCTGAGGGCCTGCAGTTCTTTCTTTCTCAGAAATTAAGGCTCAGTCAGTCCTTGCTCATCCTTGATAACTTTGCTTTTCTTTAGCATTCCAGCTCTGGTTAGGGCCATTTCTGTGCTTTCTATTGTTTCTTCATTCATCCCCCAGATATCCTATTGTACTTGACATTCCTGGTTCAAGTCTTGGCTTATAAAAGGAATGTTTTTAATTAAACCACCACTCCTGTCTACTACCTGTGTCTGCTACTTCTGTCTGCTACCTCCTTGTTTTTCTCTATAGCATGTAACCACCATCAAACATAGCATGAGTATAATTTATTTGCTTCTCTTCTAGTATACAAGGCTGGTGAAGGCAGAGATGATTGCTATTTTAATTCACTGCTAGTCAACACAGTGCCTGGTGCACACTTTGGACTACATAGTTTTTTTTTTTTTTGAGTGAAAGAACTCAAATGAATATGGATTCTTCCTAGAGAGAGGTTTCAGAATCTCCCTCCCTGTCTTATTCCATGTTTTGTTTTTTGAGATAGGGTCTCCCTATGCATTTCAGGCTGGTCTTGAACTCACTATGCAGCCCAGGTTGGGCTTGAACTCGCAGCTATCTTCCTCAGGCTCTTGAGTGCTGGCATTATAGGCATGCATTACCATGCCTGGGTCTTCTTTGAAATGTTTGCCCATGTTATGTCTCCTTGAGCCTGTTATTTCTAGGTCTAGGATCCAAAGCAGCTTTACTTTGCTCCTCTGAAACTCACCATGGCTTTGATTTAACCCAGGCCTTTGAATGAAGCAGGAAAACAGGTAAATTTCCATGGCCTCCTGTCTTCTCTGCTTCTTTTGTTGTGCTTCCTTTTCTTACCCCTGGACTTTATCACAGCCTGACTGTGATGTGAGGGGGATGAGTTGGGAAGGTGGTACTCTGAGCCAGCCTCTTTCTTCCACAGTAACAGTGGGGACATTCATTCCATCTCTGGGAATATAGCAGTAGAAAACACTGCTGCAGAGGCTGTAGAATCTTCATCTAGGTTGGCTGCTGTGGCAAAAAATTGGGGACTTTGAATGCTATCTCTCTTTTGTGAGTATAATTCACTGATAATTCACTATACTTCTGAGGTGAATAGTGACAAGGCCAATTAAATAAAATCCTGGCCTTTGGCTGGTTGTTTTCCATTTCTTGTTTCAGTTGGTAGTTTTGTTCTCTGAACACATAATTCCTGGGAAGCATAGCCTAAGAGTCTGCAGGATGGTCGGTGAGTGACTGGTTCTTTAAAAGACGGTGCCCCTCCAGGTCTGGGACCCTCTGATTCTGAGTTCCATGTCTTGCACTTAATAGGATCTTAGTGTTAACGTTTGAAGGGATGAATTGGTTATCTTAAATAATTTCCTTTAGATTTTGGTGCTAGTATAGAGGTAGTTAACTCTGTGCTTTTTTTTTTTCTTTCCCTAGAATTGAATTCAAGATTTTTTGGGAACAGATCAGAAATAAAATTTTGGAAAAAAAAAAAAAAAGAAATACAATTTTGAGTTTTATTTATAATGTTCAGAGTATATTGTTTAGTTTTTGCAGAGGGACTGAGGATCGAACTCATGACCAGGTACCTGCCAGGTAGGCTCTCATCTCACTGAGCTAAGTTCCTGGCCTGAATTCAGGGTTTTTGCTCAGAGTTATATCCCAAGCCTTTTTTTGTTTTTGAGACAGGTTCTCCCTATGCAGTTCAGGCTGGCCTTTAGCTTACTTTGTAACCCAGGCTGGTCTCAAACTTACAATGATCTACTTGCCTGAGCCTCCTGAATTTATTTATTTATTTTGCATCAGGGTCTCACTAAGTCTGTGAGTTGCTCAGGCTGGGCTCCAACTAACAGTAGTCCTCCTACCTCAGGCTCCCAAGTCCTGGGATTACATGCACATGCCTAGCTTTTGTTTGTTTGTTTGAGACAGAGTCTATGCAGTTCAGGCTGGCCTTGAACCCGTCCGAATCCACCTGCCTCAGCCTCCCAAGTGTGAGGATTACCGACATTCGCCACCACGCCAGGCTAAGATTTCAGGCAAGTCAGAAAAGAATCCTGATAGAGTTGGTGCCATGGGAGTGTATCTGACAGCCTGTAATCCTGTTTAGGGAGGTTAATGAGGCTTACCAGAGAGGGCGATGTCTGATCAGAGATAGGAGAAACGGAGTAGGGAGGAGTGCATCTGACAGAAGAAACCCGATGTAGTGAAGCATGGGGGAGAGAGAGAGAACCTCTAGGCACAGGGCTGATGCACATGGTGGGGAGAGGGGACTGGAGGGGGAGCCAAGCCAAGGCCCTTTCACACTTGGCAAAGGATTGCTCATCACAGAGCAGTGAGATACATGTATGTGTGAGGTGCTGGAGGCCTGGCGAGGGGGGAGGTGACCTGGAGGATGGAGATAGATCAGGAGGGAGATGTATTAAGAGCAGAGGATTGATTAGATGTCAGGAATAAAGGACAGGATTCAAAGTTAACCCTGTATTTTGACTTAGGCTGCTGGAAGCTCTTGTCAGGAAGCAGGGAAGTTCAGAGATCAGTCAGCTATCATTGGTTGCAAATGTCAAAGCCACCTATGCTAACTTAAATGGTAACATCACAAATACTCAATAGCACCTCAGAAAGGACCAGGCTTCAGGTACTAGGGATTGATGGGGTCTACAACCAGCAACTCTTTACACATTTAATTTATTTTCTATAGACAACTACCTCTATTAATCTCTTTGCTCACATACAGTTATTTATAATGTTAGATATTTTGTGGCTTTAAACTTGTTGGGAAGGATTCTGGGTTTATCTCTGTCTGTATTTATTTATTTATTTATTTAGTGGTGCTGGGATTAAACCCAGGGCTGTGTGCATGCAAGACAGGAACTCTACTCTGAACCATATCCCCCGTCCTTCCTCTGCTAATCTTAACGTTTGTTGTAGATGGAAGATGGCTACCTCCCTCTTCCTGGTTTTTATTTCTTCTTTGTAGAGAAGTCATAGTTCAGGTTGAACTATGATTTAGTCCCCAGGATGGTTTTCCAGGAGAGAATTTGATTTCATTATGTCGTCCAGTCATCCACAATCAAGGTAGCACCACAATCTCCTAGGTGCATTTCACAATCAACTTTAGTTCAATTTGATCTAAATGGAGAATTAAGAATGAACCACTCGGGGCTGGGGGTTTAGCTCAGCGGCATAAGCACCTGCCTTGCAAGCAGGCGGTCGTAAGTTCGATTCCCGGTACTGATAAAAATGAAAAAGACAAAAAAAAGAATGAACCACTCCTGCCAGGGATGGTAATACAGGCCTGTAATCCCAGCACTTGGGAGGCTGAGGCAGGATGATTGCTGAGAATTCAAGACGACACTGGGCAATAGAGTTCAAGGCTAGTTTGAGCTGCAACTAGTGTGACCCTGTTTCCAAAAAAAAAAAAAAAAAAAGAAACCACCAAGAATGAATCACTACTCAAGATTGTAAATTGTGTGAATTACAAACTTGTATACTAATTTTATTTTTTACTTATTTATTTTTTGGTACCAAGAATTGAACTCAGGACCTTATACTTGTCAGGCAGATGCTGTTTCATTGAGCTACATCCCCAGAACCATGTACTAATTTTAAAAAAAGTTTAAAAAATTTGGTCACCTAATGAGTAACAACAATTAAAGAAAAAAAAAAAGGAATGAAGGATCTA